TCATTAGAGTCTACTGGAAAACCCCAAAACATGATATTGTGAAGATTAACACTGATGGAAGCTTTACTAAAAATGGAGCTGGTGTGGGAGGTATCTACAGAAATCATTTGGGTAAGTGCTTGCTGTACTTTTATACCCCAGTCCTGGCCACTGATGCCACTGAAACTGAACTCATTGCTCTAAGGCTAATTGGAATAGAATTTTGTTGAAAGTGGATTCTGCTGTGATTATTCCCCTTTTAAATTGGAAGAGGAGACTCCCTGACACTACTCATACTGGATAAGCAAAATCAGAGATCTCACTAGCAGGATACAAATTCAATTCACTTTCATTTATAGGGAAGGTAACCAGCCTGCAAACTGGTTGGCCCAACTTGGATCACACTTTAATGAGACTGAAGTTGCTATCAACCCTCCACTTGCTCTCTTTTATCTGCTGCAAGGAGATATTCTAAATGTCTTTCACATCAGAATGGTCTACAAAGATAAATGATTAATGTGGGGGCAGATGCAATCTCACACTTATTTTCTTCTGTTGAGTCATTGTAGTTTTTCTTTTTGAGGGTGACACCTAGCATTTTTGGGGGATTTCCTAGGTTCCTGTATTGAACCAAGTAGTGAAGTCCCCATCCCCCTCTTTGATGTCTGTACTAGTCCTTTTTACTTCATACGTGCTCATTATAAAAGGGAATGATGCTTTGAACTCTTCATCATAGAACTTTATTTAGTCTTAGTAAATTTAAATTTAAAGTTAAGTAATTAGTTTAGTAAACTTAGTTCTTTTAGTTACATTTCTGTTAGCATTCATTAAACCTATTTTAACTTTCTTTCTTACTTTAATTTTCATAATTTGAATATTGTGATTTAAGTTATTATCTTAAGAATTTTCATCTTCCAAAACTAAGACTTTATAGTAGTAGACTATAATTAGCCAAAGGGATTTTTTCAGCGCTTCTATGTGGGATCGATACTGAGGTTTTTCAAGAAAGCCCTATATTACTTAAAGCGATATGTGCACTTGCGTAGAACTCCTAGTGAGCGAACTATTTTATATATTTTATATAACCTTTTAATTTTGCACATTAACTACTTAATATAAATTGGGTTAAGTTTTTTTCATATTGTTGAAAGCAAAATTACTACGTAAATTTTGGGACGGGTCAAGTTTTTGACACAATTACCAGGGATTTAAATTTACATAAAACATGCAAAAAAACAACACACACTAGAGGCACATTTAGAACTTTATGAGAATTTTAGTTAAACTGTTAGACTTAGATTTGTAATTTATAGTATTATTATATAGTGTGTTTAATTGTTATGTATTTATTTTAAAGAAATTCCAAAATACCAAAATTTTTTTTGATATATATCCTATTAGTTAAGTCTTTAGATTTGTATACGTAGTTCAGAAGCTGCAGACCTTGAATATTACAAGTCAGAATTGAAGAGAACTTTTGAGAGTGATTTAAAAGACTCCATGAATTTAATGTAGAAATGGTGGATCAATGATATAATGAATATTTAGATTTGGATTATAATGCTAGTATCTTTGAACGAGTAAACCCCAAGAGAGTGGCAAATTTTCAAGAAGATATGTTTACAATTTTAATTTCTGATGTTGCAAATATTGAGAGGAAGTTGGATCAATACATGGAAAGATATCCTCAAGGAACCTCAATTATTGAGGAAAATTTATTTGGACAATGGATTGAAACGGGCCATGAGAAACATAATTCTTATTATGATTATTACAATCTTGGTTGGAAAAATAATTTCAATTTTAACTGGAATAATAATTTTGGAAGAGAAGATTAATTTTGGGAAGATAATCATTTTAATCAGACTATTGAACTTTCTTTTCCTTATAATTTTGACTTTAACCCCTAGAATGATGAGAAGGATTTATTAGAAGAGGTTGTTTTTCAAATTGAGAGTGAGCTGGAGTGTCAATGGACGGTAATAAGAAATAAGGAAAAAAATTGGGGCAGATTATTAACTCAATTAATAATCCTCCTCAATTTAACTCCAACCCATAGGATGAGAAGAAGGAATTGATGTTAGAAGTGGTTGATTCAAATGAAGAGTGAGTTAGAAAATTAAGAGGTCATAATAAGGAATATAGAAAACTAACTAGGGCAGATTATTAATGCAATTAACAGTTACCCCCAGAGATTTTACCTAATGAACCTGAGATAAAACCTAAGAAGATTAATGATGAGCAATTTAAAATCATCAAACTAATATTTAGAAGAGAATTCAAGGATATGTTTTAAAAGAACTTTGAGTTGAGAAATGACAATAAGGAGATGGAAAGACCAATGAAAAAAATTCCTAAGGAAATTAAAAAACCTATTTCCTCAACTAAGATAAATATAAAAAGACCACCTCTACCATTTACTCAGTTCCAAGGGGAAGAATTGAAAGACAACCTTGAACAAAAGACTAATTTATAAGAATTTGATCCAGAATTAGAATTATCTTGAGAGAATCTGATCCAAAATTTTGGAAATCTTGAAGTATCTTATAAGGATCCATTTCTTATAAAATTCAAGTATGATATTAATATGAAAATTGAGAAAATCACTAGAAGAATATTGGATCTAGAAGAAATATGAGGAATAAAGATATGAATCAATATGAAATGGAAGAGCTGAAAGAAAATTTTAAAGTTGAGGACTTTGTAAGAATTCTTAGATTTGGAAAAGATTGGGTGATTGATAAAGGATAACTTAAATGGAATTTTGATCCAAGTGGAATCATTTGTTGGGCTGACGATGTTAAACAAAGGGCTTTATGGGAGCAACCCATAGTTATCAGTGTGGTTTGATTTAGTGTGCTTGAGAGTTATGATTGTTAGTGTTGTACTATGTTTGCTTTAGTATGGTTTAATAAGTTTGATTCATGATTGGTAGATGTTTAGATTTTTAGTGGTATGATTAGATTTTTGTTTGTCATGAGTATTATGGCTAGACTTATATATTCTCTTGTAGTAGTTGGATTGACGAGTCCACTACAAATCGGGTCTCACCCAGACTTGAGTTTTACAAGAGACATTTTGAATTTTTACACCGATAGTTCCATCTGATCTCAATTTTTTTAATTCTTTTCTCTGACTTTTTTTTTCATTTGATAGGAGTAGATAAC